TACAAAATACTCTTGACTGGGGAGAGTAGTTGAAGGAATAAATCAAGATTGGCCGTGAATTGATAATTTGAAGGTGGATGATAGGTACATAGGAATTCATTACTCTATTTTCACTGCTTTTTTTGGTAGTGGGGACTGAACCCAGAAGCACTTTACCACTGAACTACATTCTTAGCCCTTTGTATCTTTGAGATAGTGTCTCACTCAGTTGCTGAGACTGACCTCTAATTTGCAATCCTGCCTCAGCCTCCCAAATTGCTGAAATTAAAAGCATGAGCCACCATGCCCAGCTATTTTCTCTATTTTTGTATATACTTGATTAAGTATTTAATTATGATGCTAGGAATCCCAAGTTTATTTATTTATTCATGGTCCCATAGTCCCACACAATGCAGTCCTAAGCTTGATATTTTATGTAATATAAAAATTGCAAATGATTAAAAGACATTAAATATATAAGAACTATAGGTTCATAATAGTAACTTTTAAAAAAGGAGAGAGTAAAACAAAACAAAATCATTGAATGCCATTAGTAGTTGCTAAAACATCAACTTACAACTTTGAAATTAAGAATGGAAAGAGATTTGAGCATTTCTCTTCCCATTCTGGTATGAACTTTATTTTAGGGTTACCAAATAGTCCTAGAGGTTGTGAAAAGTTTTTCTGTACAGAATTAGAGCTAATAAGTGGAAATGAAATAGTAGTATTAGCAAATCACAGTTATATAATCCCTAGTGAAGTAACCAATTCATAGAATGATTATCAATAGACAATAAACCAACGTGGTGAAAAGTTGACAAGGAACTTCATGATACAGAGATCATACTCTCACCATCTGAAAACAGAAGTAGCTTGGCCTCTGACATGGACAGGGAGATCTGTCAGGCCAGGAATACCTGTGCTATGTGGGATAAGTGAAAAATAAATTCTTACTGTGTTAAGCCACTGAAATATGGGTGCAATTCATTATAGAAGCTAGTTTATTCTTTTTAATATATCATTCATATATTTTAAAACATGTAAGCACATAACTACATATATTTAAAGATACATACATATCCAAACATACACTGACACATTTGTGTATGCCTATATCAGGGAGAGGAACAAGCATAGGGACCAGGGATCAAAGGAAAACAAGAAAAGGAGCTGAGCATAGTGGTGCATTCTTATAATCCCAGCTACCCGGGAGGCTAAAGTAATACGATCCCAAATTTGAAGTCAGCTTGGATGACTCAGTGAGACTCTCATCTCAAATTGAAAAAGATCTGGGATGAAATTCAGTGGTAGAGTGTTTTGCCTAGTATGCATGAGGCCCTGGGTTCAATCTCCAGTACCACAAAAAAGAAAATGAAAAGAAGGGGCCTGGTATCAACAACAATGAGATTCATCATGCTCTGAGGAGCCCAGCTGAACTATTAAGGAAAAAGAGCTAGGGCTGTGACTCAGTGTCGAGTTTGCCTAGCACATGTGAAGTCTGGGATTCAATCCCCAGCACTGCAAAAAAAAAAAAAAGAAAAGAAAAGAAAAAAGAAACTATTGAAGAATAAAAAATAATTTAAAAAGAAGATAATCTACCTTTCTTAGAACCCAGGTTAGTTCATTAGGAGTGTAATTATCTCATGCCTGAAGAAGCAGGAGCACAGTATGGTCCTGGAGAGAAAACATTGCAGCTGGGCTTGGTGGTGCACACCTGTAATCCCAGTGGCTTGGGAGGCTGAGACAGGAGGATCACAAGTTCTCTTTCTTTTTAGTACCAGGATTGAACCCAGGGGCACTCAACCACTGAGCCACATACCCAGCCCTTTTAATTTTTTATTTTGAGACAGGGTCTCACTCAACAAATTGCTCAAACTTGCAATCCTCCTGCCTCAGCCTCCTAAGTTACTGTGATTGCAGACATGTACCACAGTGCCCAGATAGATATGGTTTTTAAGCCATTAAACTTGTGGTGATTCATTACAGCAACAGGAACCTGCCTCTACTATTGAGCAGCAATACCTATTCTCCTAAGTGTGGAGGTTTGGGTAGGAAGTGATACTGACCCAGCTTTATATTATGGCTCATTTGATATGTATCTGAGTTTAAGCATATTTCTAAGCAACAAGACATTGTTAACTATGTACTGTTTATAGGGTTGCTAAGAACTAAATAGAATAAGTTTTCAATTACCTAATATAAACAGTTAACTTTAGTTTTGTAAGTCACATTCCTTGTGGATTTACACACATTCATCCCTCCATTCCTTGAACAGGCACACAGGTATAACTGAATACCCAGTACATGCCTGGCACCAAAAGCACAAATAGCTTGTGTCCACTGTAACCCCAAGTATTTCTCACCAAAGCTGCCATAATTTCCAGTCAGCCTGGTGCTCTCTAAGCACAGGCCTTCACACCTGTCCACTCGCATGGTTTAATGTTCTCTTGATGGACCCATTCTGGTCAGTGTCACTCCTTACTCTCTCAAGTGCTCTCTGAAGCTTTCATGAGCAGTTTCATTTCTACCTTTACCCTGATCCCTGGCAAACGCCCCCAGAGTACTCAGAGGACAGTATGCTTCTTCTATTCATACTTTAGACACCCTGTTTTCCTTTTTTTGGTAATGGGAATTGAACTCAGAGGTGCTTAACCACTGAACCACATCCCCAGTCCTTTTTAAATTTTGAGACAGGTCTCACTAAGTTGCTGAGGCTGGTCTTGAACTTGCAATCCTCCTGTGTCAGCCTCTGGAGTTGCTGGGATTATAGGCATGCACCACTGTGCCCAGCTCATTCTCATGTTTTCCTACATCTCTCACCATTTTCCTCCCTTCTCCTTTGAGATTCCATGTAGCTCTTTCCTGAAACCCAGAAAAGTCTAGGGTAATAGACCAGCTGAGTTTCACCCAGCTAGTCTAGAAACAGGAAGGACAAGTGGAACTCCTTTCTCTGGTAGGGAACTGGAGTCTAAGGTATTAACACAGGATGCCCAGACCTACCTGGACTACCCAGGCAGCCTCACTTGCCTCACCTCTCCAACATTTCAACACTTTCAGGTGCCTATCCAACTTATACATAATACCCTGACCTGTGATATACCCCAATCTCGGCAAGATCAATGTGTTTTTCCTAATTTCACAGCTCCCCACACCAGCCCCACTTGTAACCTACAAGTTTGAAATGCTGAGCTCTGCCCCCACAATGTCTGGTCCTACTTTTCTTTCATGATTGGTCTGGGTTGGCTTTCTTCCTATCTAATGTCCAGGCCCAAGCTTCTATTCTACAGAGCCTATAGTCCTTTCTCTAAAGATGAGGAGCTGATTCTTTAGGGATGACATAATAGGGGTCAAACATTATAATCAGAGGAAATTGCTTTCAGTTCCTTTGGGCTTTGGAGGTTTCACAAAGGGTTATGCTGGGCAAATCTATATACTCCTGGGTCCCCAGCCTATCTGTGTACTGAGAGGGCTGGTCTTCTAGGAAGCTGCACTGTTATTTGAGCTTGGAGGTTCCACGCAGCCTCCCTGGCAATGGTGCATAAAGGCCACAAGAGGGCAGGCAACCTCTTCAGTTGAGAAGTTGGTTGACTACGTCAAGTGAGACTCAAAAAGGAATACAATGGGGCTGGGGGGGTATAGCTCAGTGCCCAGCACACAAGCGTCTCTAAGCATACCCCCCACCCCCCACCCCCAGAAAAAGTAAAAAGGAATATAATGACGTCCATGAGGAAGGGTGGTTACTTTGGTCACTCAAGGGAACATTATAAAATAGCTGTGGAGAAGGGGCTGGAATAGAGTACTGGAATTCCCAGTCTTTAAGGGGTCAGGAGCCCCAGGTTCATGAGGATCAGTAAAGAGAGGTCTGGTAGGCAGAAGAGAAGAGGCTGAGAGGATACTTTGGACATTTCTTTCACTTTGAGGGAGAGGAGAAGAGAGGGTCTTTAGGGGCTAGCCATGGACTGCTCAGAAGGATGGGAGTGGGGGTTGTTGAACAACATCTGAGGAGTTTTAAGGGAAATAGAGACTTGGCTTCCTTCCCTTCCCCAATAAAAACTGAAAAGTAGAGAAATGGCAGGAGTTATTTCAAGATTTGGTGAAGATTCCTCCAACTCAGGAGGGCACGTTGAATATCCCAAGACCCTCTTTTATTCCCTCCCCCCCCCCCGCCCCTCCAATAATCAAATTAGATTAGGGCCCACAAAAAACAGGGGCCAACATATGGGGCAGTCACCTGGGATCCAAAGGGTTAATCTCCAAGAATTCATTCATTCTGACATCAGCCATAGTCCTTATCCCCCCTGGCCTCTGGGCCTGTCCCCTCTCTGAGCCCCAGGTTGGCAGCTTCAGTGAATTCCTTCTGTGGTGTAATTAGCTAGGGTCTTGAGATCTAGCCCCAGAGCCAGTCCCCTGCTCCCTCCTTAGGTCCAAGAGTAAAGGGGGCTTGCTCTAAGGGAGAAAGGAGGACTTTCCCTTGCTCCCGCCCACTTCCCAAGATGGGGCCCAGAGACCAAAGAGCCTCTGTCTGTTCCTGCCACACCCCCACATTGTGGCCCAGACAAGGGGATTCCTTGTATCCCAACCTCAGGCAGGCATCCTTGTGACCAAATGGTGGAAGGCTGGACCGGGTGGGGGAAGGGCAATTACAGAGTCAGAGAAGATAACACCTCCCCACCATCCAAGATTCTGGTTTTACCTCAGAGCCCTGAGGGCCTCAAACTTCACTCTCCCCAGCTCCCAACAGTGGGTGAGAAGGCTAGGACTCATCTGCATATAAAAGGCCTGAAGCCTGAAAAGGAAACTGAGAAGGTGTAGAGACACAGAAACTGAACCTCCCCGCAGGCAGAAATGGAGTCAAAATTAGAATGGGGCAGCCCAGGGATTGGGTAAGACAGGGGTCTGTAGCAAAGTGGGCCAAGCTGACTCAGAGCCTTAGGTGGAGGCCCTAACAGTTTCTCTCCCAGAAAGCAAACGGACAAAAGTGTTGCACCAGACAGGGATGTAGATAGAGAGTGTGAGACCCCTTAGGACAAAATGAGAATTCCCTGTTTAAAAGGTAAGAACATTCCAAAAAGCAGCACAAACATCCACCAGTGAGCAACTTTCTGCCAGAAGGGGTGATGTGTTGCCATTCACATGAAGTAATGGTAAGGCTATGAAGTGATATGGTATCACTTAGCAGAAGAGGCACAGACACCCTTATACTGACCATCCAAAGACTGAAACAGACAAAAGTCAGTCCATCCTAGCAGAAAATGACATCATTCAGCAGGTAGGAAGGGGAGGGTCTACCAACTCCCAAGGATTCTGGGAGGGCTAATCTAGGAAGGGTTGGCCCTGAATGTCTCAGTCTTCTTGACCAAGAGGTGGCAAGACTTTTAGACTTTGAATGAAGTAATTACATCCCAATTTCTTCATTAGTGATCTCCTATGGGTCATAAATCCTTATCTGGGGCAGGGGCAGAGAGAGGGAGGACAGAAATACCCTCACACCAGGAGACACCCACCTGTAGTTAACCTCTCTATGAAAATAACTCTAGGGGCCTGGTAATTGAGGGATAAAGGTAGAGACTCCCTAGGACCGGAGTTATGATGAGCCAGGTTTTCATGGTAATTGATTTTCAGAGCATCCTATTCCTACTCCTTGACTGAGGGAGAATAAATTTTGTGGAAGACCAGGGCCAAGGGATGAAAGATCTATAGGAGTACAAAATGTTGGGAAAGTTGTTACAAGAAGGTCACATCATCTTGGCATTGTCCCCAGTACCAGTGGGCCTCAAAGTCCAGTTTGGCACTCTCATCCTCTGGTGGCTCCAATGGTCCACCTTGGAGCCCCTCCCCTGGAGGCTTCCTCAGAGACATTAAGCTCCCTAGCCTGGTGGCTGTGAGATCCACCTCAGTCCTGGCCCTCTCCTCGCCAGGTATAACCTTTGTCCAGTCAATCTCAGGACAGGGAGCCCCTGGGGGACCCTGTTCATCAAGCTCTCTGGGGGCCACAGTGTCCAAGAAGCTGCCAATAGAGACACTGTCCAGCCGGTCAGTAGAGCTGGTGTCTGGAAGGCTGTCCCAGCTGCCCCGCCTTGAGCGGCCTGGGCTCCCTCCTGTCAGGCTGTATTGGCTGCTGGTGAGGCTACTGCAATGACTGGTCAGTGTCCCCCGTTCCTCCAACAGCCAACGCACTGCCTCAATGCCCTCGTTCAAGGTCACCAGCTGCTGCAGGATCTTCACATCAATAGCTCGTAGGTAAGCCTGGGAGAGTAGAAGAAAGAATTAGTCACAAGTCTGAGCGATGGGCTTCCACAGTTATTTCCAGAGACCCCTACTTAGTGACTAACCAAATGTGTTTTGCTTTCAAGAAGCTTGGAAACATAGAATGTGGAGAATGGGCTTTAGAAGAAAATGGTCAACTATTTAAAATTTCAGCTCAGGGTGGAGATGGAGGTCAGTGGTAGAGTGCTACCTAGCATATATAAGGCCATGGGTTTGATCCCCAGAAACCCCCTCCCCAACCCCCCCCACAAATTTCCAGCTCTACTATTTTGATTGGGGGGGGTGTTACCAGGACTGAACTTAGGGGTACTTGACCACTAAGCCACATCCCCAGCCCTATTTTGTATTTTATTTAGAGACAGGGTATCAGCGAGTTGCTTAGTACCTTGCTTTTACTGAAGCTGGCTTTGAACTCGAGCCTCCTGCCTCAGCCTCCCAAGCCATTGGGATTACAGATGTGCTCCACTGCACCCAGCTCCAGCTTTACTATTGATGAGCTAGCTGTGTGATTGAGACTCTTCTCTGAGTCTCATTTTCCTTGACTGCAAATAGGGCTAAATCACTCATCTCACAGGGTGGCTATAAAGATTTTGAAATGCTATTACACACTGAGAGCATAGTACCTAGCACAGAATAAGGTCTTAGTAATGTTAAATACTAAAATCCAATCAAATTCTAGTTTGGTAGGCTAGAACTTCATATTTAGGGCATTTAGTCTATTGAACTGGTTCAGATTCACCAGTAAGACTTAGAAACGGCCAAAGAATAGCTTGATAGATTGTTAACTGGGAAGTGGACAAAAAGCAGGTGGGAGCTGAAAAATAAAGAGCGAGTTAACCTAGTTCCCTAGTCCCTTCAGAGTACTAGTAACAAGACTATGGGCTTAGGCTATGGGAACAAAGGGTTGGCCAGAGCTAAGAAGGATCAGCATCCCACTGGCTGGGATTCATGGTTTCCCTTTACCTAACACCAGTCTCCCTGACTGTACTGGAAATAATTCTGATTTTCTGGGTAATCTCCAGGGTCCCTCTCAGCTCAGATGCACTAAAATACCGTTCCCAAGCACAAGTCTGAACCTGTCCCTCCCTTGCTCAAGAGGGATTTACTGATTTTGCATTGTTCTTAGAGAATGAAATCTAAACACTTCAGTGGCTGGCATTCAAAAGCCTATAGTAATATGGTTCTTGCCCATCTCTCTAGTTTCACCTCTGGCATACTTCTCTATGGACCCAAGGTCCTGCCACAACATGACTTTTTAGTTTTATTTAGTTTCATTTTTTTAAATAGTTATTTTTTAGTTAAAGGTAGACACAATATCTTTATTTTATATTTATGTGGTGCTGAGGATCGAACCCAGTACCTCACGCATGCTAGGCCAGCGTTTTACCTATGAGCCACATTCCCAGCCCTTAGTTTCACTTTTAGTCAAATCAATAGATGCTTACATGGAAGCAAACAGTTATACAAGATTTATTTTTGGTACTGGGGATTAAATCCAGGAGCACTTACCACTTACATTCCCAGCCCCCCTCCCCTTTTTTTGACAGGGTCTCTAAGTTGCTTAGGGCCTCCCTAAATTCCTGAGACTGGCCTGGAATTTGTGATTCTTCTGCCTCAGCCTAGCCTCCAAATCACATGCTTCTATTGCAACTTCTTGATTTTTAAATTTTGAACATTTTTCTATTGACTTCCCACACTATAAGAAGTTAAGGATTTAATTTTAACCCACTCCCCACTCCTCTGCTATGTAGACATACTTCCTACCTCCTCATTTTCCCAAAAGGCAATACAATTACCTTATTAGGATTTTGAAATGCTATTTATAGCCAAGCTATGTACTTTACAATAGTTACTTTTTATTTCTTACAACCTTATGCTTTGTTTAGACTTATTGCCTAGTTTGCTATGTAGTTACCAGTAGATCATTCCCAGATTCTTCCCAATTATCTGAATTTCCCTTTCAAGGCTTTCAAACACATCACATGAGATGATCTATCTATTCTATCTTCTAGAGGCATCTCACCCCACCTTATACTCAGTACTGGGGCTTGAACCTAGAAGTGCTTTAACCACTGAACTATCACCCTTTTCGTTTTTTATTTTGAGACACCCAGGCTAGTGTGGAATTTGTGATCCTCCTGCATCAGCCTCCCGAGTAACTGAGTAGTATCTCTTTAGAAGGCTTCTGATCTGCTTCAATATATCTCTGCTTCACTATCATCTTAGGGATTTCCTTTGCCTTTCCTAAGATGGATCCTTTATTTCTTAGATGCCACCCAAATCTTCTTTCTTTTTTTTAAAATATTTGTTTTAGTTGTAGTTGTACACAATATCTTTATTTTATTTTTATGTGGTGCTGAGGATCAAACCTAGCACCCTGCACGTGCTAGGCGAGCGCTCTACTGCTGAGACACAACCCTAGTCCCTTCTTTCTTGATTTACTACTTAATTCAGGTGAGTGGTGCTCTCCCTCTGGATGCATCTAGAGGTTGAAACTTTACATGTTTTAAAATGTTATTATTCTAGCCTTACAGCAGTAAGTTTGACTGGGTATAAAATTCTAGGTTGAAATTAATTTTTCCTTGAGATTTAAGACATTGTTCCATTGTCTTCTAATTTTCTGTGTTACATTTTAAAGGTCTCATTGCCACTGCTTAAGAGAAGTTTTTAGCGCTGGGGTTGTAGCTCAGTGGTAGAGTGGTTGCCTCACATGTGTGAGGCACTGGGTTCTATCCTCAGCACCACATAAAAATAAAAAATAAATAAAACAAAGGCATTGTGCCCATGTACAACTTAAAAAAATGTTGAGAGAGAGAGAGAAGTTTATAGTCCCAATAAGGTGAGATGGGCATAAATAACTGAGATATGAGATAATACAGACTATTAAAGACATAAGATAATGGAGGTTATCTTTAATTCTTTCCTAATGTGGACAAACATATTAACAGTGAAATAATAGTTCTAATTCAAGTCCAAACTAAATGCATTAAACAAAAGTCCTCACCCTAGAGGCTGGGGATGTAGTTCAGGCATTATACAGAATGCCTGAGGCCCTTCATTCAATCCCAGCACCTAAATGAATATAAAATATAAATTTAAAGTCCTCATACCAAAACTACTTCTCATGCTGTGTTTTCTCTTTCAATTCTTTCTGCCTTCCTCCCTTTCCTCCTTCCCATTCTACTCTTCTATTTCCAACCTCTGCTAGATAAAGGAATAATTAACCTGGTTACACAGTGAGAGAAGGGGAAGGGATCTTAGAAATTCTTTTTTTTTTTTTGGTACTAAGGATTGAACCCAGGGGCATTTAACCTCTGAGCCACATCCCCAGCCCCTTTTTGTATTTTATTAGAGACAGGGTCTCACTGAGTTGCTTAGTGCCTTGCTAAGTTGCTGAGGCAATTATAATTGCTTATTATTGAACTCATGCCTCAGTTTCCCAAGCAGCTGGGATTATAGGTATGTACCTCAGCACCATCTTAGAATATCATTCTTAAACAGATACTTAAGCAATCCTCTTGGTTTCAGCACCTCTTGTGCTCTCAGTTCCAGAAATACCTGGTGCATCTAACTCCTAAGACTTTGAGAGTTTTTCTTTTTGTTTTGATTTGTTTTGGTACTGGGGATTAAACCCTTGAGCACTTTACCACTGAGCACTGAGCTATATCACCAGACCATTTAATTTTTTGAGACAGAATCTTGCTAAGTTGTCCAGGCTGGCCTCCAATTTGTGACCCTCTTACCTCTGCCTCCCCAAGTGAGTCACTGGGATTATACTTGTGCACCACTGCACCAATTCTTTGAGAATTTCTTAGTGCAAATACATTGCTTTTTAGCTTGCCCTACTGCTAGCTTAGAATTCAGCTTTTTTTTTTTTTTTTTTGGTGGTGATGGTGGTGGGGTACCAGGGATTGAACTCAGGGGCACTCGACCACTAACCACATCCTCAGCCCTATTTTGTATTTTATTTAGAGACAGGGTCTTACTGAGTTGCTTTGCGCCTCGCTGTTGCTGAGGCTGGCTTTGAACTAGTGATTCTCTTGCCTTAGCCTCCTGAGCCACTGGGATTACAGGCATGTGCCGCCAAGCCCCGCCTAGAATTCAGCTTTTTTGAGGTCTGAGTTAGTTACTACTTTTCTTCTTATCACCTTCTCCCTTTATTCTCATTGTCATTATGGCCTCAGGCCTTTTTTATTTATTTATTTTTTTAAAGTTTTTAGTTGTCAATGGATTTTATGTTATTTATATGTGATGCTGAGAATCAAACCCAGTGCCTCACACATGCCAGGCAAATGCTCTACCACTGAGCCACCTGCCTCATGCCTTTTAAAATAATCTTTCTTGGGCTGGGGATGTGGCTCAAGCGGTAGTGTGCTCGCCTGGCATGCGCAGGGCGCTGGGTTTGATCCTCAGCACCACATAAAATAAAATAAAGATGTTGTGTCCACCGAAAACTGAAAAATAAATATTAAAAAATTCTCTTTCTCTCTCTTAAAAAAAAAAAAAATCTTTCTATTGGCTCTTTAATAGAATTTCAGAAAGCAGTGAAGGTAAGTGAATGGGTTGAGTCTGCCCTCCTAAACTAAATTCCCACAGCCTTTGTTCAGTCTTCAGGGACTCTCTCAAATGCCTTCTTCCTTGGGAAGTTTTCCTTGCCCTTTCTCAAGATAAAATTAATCTGTCACAGGACAAATATTTATTGAATGTTTCTTACAGGCGTGGCACTGGGTTAGACAAAGGAGAAAAGCCACCATTTCTTGACCTCAGAGGGTTCAGTCTTGTGGGTTAGATAAGACAATAAAGCAAGTCCTTAAAATTCAGTGTGACAAGCTGGGCATGATGGTACATGCCTGTAATCCCAGGGACTCAGGAGGCTGAGGCAGGAGGATCAGAAGTTTGAGACCAGCCTCAGCAATTTAGTGAGATCCTGTCTCAAAATTTAAAAAATTAAAATAAAAAGAGCTAGCAATGTAGCTCAAAGGTAGAGTGGATTTAATCCCCAGTACCCTGCCCCTCTACCCCCAAATTAAGTGAAAATACTAGAGGAAACAACTGTGGCACAGAGGACTGTAAGTACCTAGGTTAATACCATAACCCAATTCAGGGAGGCCAGAAATGCTTCCTAGATAATGGATGTCAGATGAGACTTGAAGGTTAGGGATGAGGTAGGACTTAGCCAGACAAAGAGGAGGAGAGAAGCATTCCAAATTCAGGATATATCCCCTCCAATTCCAAGTGGCAGTAATCCAACTATGTTACTTCATGATCCAGACTCCCAGGAGGCCCCCCAGGGTTCCAACAGCACTTCTCATCCTGTACTAGAGTTGTCCCCTCCTTCCCTAACCCAGATTGTGAGCTCTTTGAGAACAAGTCCTGCTCAATTGTTTCTGGCGCTCTCCCTAGTGTTGGGTAGGTCACACTCAGTTCTGTGATTCTCTTTCCTTTACTATCTGGCCCCTCTGGTGGTCCCCAGAATTCAGGGGACTAGGTTGTACTGTGTTGCTGTGAAATGAATCAGAGGACCAGATTCTATAATCCTGTGACAGTGGGATTCCCTGACATCACTCCCCAAAATAGAAAAAAGCAAGGCTTTCTCGCCAGAAAAAGAAACAGTTATTTCCTACCATCTCTTTGGAAACAGAGCAGGGAATAACAGCTCAGGAGAGATGCAGTCTTAGAGGCAACCCTAACCCATTCTCTCCCTGGGGGAATTCAAGTCTCCCAACTCCTCCCCATATGCATATCAGACTTTCTGCCCAGGCCCAGGGTTCCAGGTAGGCTCCTTCATTGCTCAGTACCAATTTTAGCTCCTAGATGGTGAATTGAGATTCTCAGACTATTGTTACTAGAAAGGCTCTTGCAAATCATTTAGTTTCACAATTCTCCCTTACTTCCCCCTCCAAGAGACAGAAATACTAAGGCCCAGAGAGAGAGAGAGAGAGGGCCTGGCTCAAGAACACAAAATGATTCAGAAGCAGAATCTAGACTTGAACCCATGTCTTCCCCTTCCTTGCCTGAAGCTTTTCCACAAACTGCTCTGTGGAGGTGGGTTGTCATAACAACAGTTATTTGGGTGGGAGAAGTGAGGAGGAGAGTTTGCCATTGTTTCCCATACCCACAAATTCCAGACTCTAGCTCTTCACTCAGCCTCTGCCTAGTGGAGCTAAGCAAGAGTGGGGAAGCCAATAGGCAGGGCTGACCTTGGCCTCAAGGGCAGGACTGGCCCCTCCCAAAAAGGAAAGCAGGGAGAGGGTCAATTGAAGGACAGTTTTTAAAGGGCTTGGACTTGTCCTGCCTCCAGTGAGGCCAAGGGAAATCCCCTGCTCTTCCCCTTGTCCTTCCTGGTTATAACCAGTGGGCAGGGCAGAATGCCTTAAGAGATTAATGACCTCCTGGCCTGAGGGAAGAAAAGAATGGGCTAGGGGGTCCCTTATTCTAGCCCCCAAAAGGTTCTCTCCCCTTCCCAACCATGGGCAGTCTTAAGCCCCATGCCAGATGAGTCAAGAATGCAGAGAGACAAATTCAGAAATTAAATGTACCACCTTGAAGTTCATAATCTGGTAGTCCCCAGCAAGTCGGAAAACAGAACCAGAGAAATTAGGTGTGGTTCCAGATGCCCTGTGTGAGTTCAGGCAAGCCCTTAAATATCTCCAAGTATGGGGAAACATCACTTTCCTCATTTCAATAACACAAGACAGGCTTAAAATGTCTGGTACAAGGCAGGTCTCAATGGTAAAGATATAAAATTTGGTCAGGTGATCTGGGTTCAAATCCTGACTTTGCTTTTTATTTTTTGCATGACTTTGGGCAATTACTTAACCTCTCTTGCCTCCTCTATAAAATATCACTTATCTAACAAGGTTGCTGTGAAGATTTGAGAGAATATCATGTAAACCGGATGAAGTGGCACAGGTCTGTAATTGTAGCTACTCAGGAAGCTAAGGGTCACAAGTTCCAAGCCAGCCTGGGAATCTTAGCAAGACCCTGACTCAAAATTAAAAAATAAAAAGGGGGCTGGGGATATAGTTCAGTTGGTAGAGTGCTTGTCTTATATGCAAGTTCAATCCCCAGCACCACAAAAATAATAATAACAAAAAATAAATAAACAAAAACGGTTGCGGGGGCTGAGGTTGTGGGTCAGTGGTACAGTGCTTGCCTAGCATGTGTAAGGCACTGTGTTCAATTCTCAGCACTACATTAAAAAATAAATAGAGGCTGGGGATGTGGCTCAAGCGGTAACACGCTCGCCTGGCATGTGCGGGGTGCTGGGTTCGATCCTCAGCACCAAATAAAAATAAAATAAATATGTTGTGTCCACCAAAAAGTGAAAAATAAATATTAAAAAATTCTCTCTCTCTCTCTCTCTAAAAATAAATAAATAAATAAAGGGCTGGGTTGTGGCTCAGAGGCAGAGCATTTGCCTTGCATGTGTGAGGCACTAGGTTCAATCCTCAGCACCACATAAAACACAAAATACTGAGTAAATTCAAAATATAGGTATTGTGTCCATCTACAGCTAAAAAATTTTTAAAATTTTAAAAACAAATAAAGGTATTGTGTCCATCTATAAATATATAGGTTGGGGATGTAGCTCAGTAGTAGAGTACTTGCCTTGCACATGTAAAGCCCTGGGTTTAATCCCTGTATGGCAAAAATAAATAAATAAATAAGAGTGGTGTCATAGTGGTGTCATAGCAATTTGGGAGGCCAAGGCAGGATGATTCCAAGTTTGAGACCCACTTCAGCAATTTAGCAAGGCCCTAAGCAACTTAGACCCTGTCACAAAATAAAAAGGGCAGGAGGATGTAGCTCAGTGGTAAAGAGCCCCTGTGTTCAATCCCCAGGTACCAAAAAATAAAAATAAAGAGAGATCATCATGGAAGGTGTTCAGCAGGATGCTTAGTACCTAGCATATGTACTTGGTAAAAGTTTTCAAAGCAGGGCAAACTAGGTAGGCTCTTTCTGGACCTTGAGCTAAAGTTTGTACAATGAGGCAAAGCTGGGCATTCCTTGAGGTGGTTACAGTCAAGTCCAGCTCTGGAGAATCAGGCACTCACCTCCAACCTTCAAGGACAAGTGCGCACTAGGCATTCAAGTCCTGCCCCCAGGGAACTCCTGACTGCTCCACCCACCAGAATCTCCTAGCTTGTTTTCTCCCAGCAGGTCAGAGTCCTGGCTGGTCTGAGAGCTCTGGGAAGACCTCCTCCCTCTGCTCCCTCCCAGAGCAGTTTGGCAGAGCTGGCACACAGTGGGGCTCCAGGAAGACTTATTAGCTGACAGGCGCACTCTGGGCTCCTGGTTCTGGGCCAGGATTCAGCTGGCAATTCTTCAGTTCCTCAGAACTGGCTGCAAAGTGGTAGCAGGTGTAAATCACGCCTCCTTCACCAGAACCAGATCCTTGGGGAGCATGCTGGGGCCCCAGCTGCCCTCTTGGCTCTGAATCTAGACCTGCAACTCCAGGAGACAGGGGAGGACTGGTGTTTCCTCTTCCTCCCAAGAAGGTATAGATGAGATCCAAATATCCAGTATCCTAGCGATCGCAGGGGAGGCAACTGAGTCCAAGTGAAGCACTTTCTCTGCTTTGGCCCTAGAAATTTCAAGTATTTTAAGTGCAGCTGGAGAGATGTTAAGGAAAGGGAGATGTTTTCAGTGCCCCTAGTCCAGGCAGTCTGAAGAGGGCAGGGGAGATATAGTCTTACCCAAATTTCTTCTGTGCTGAATATTTTCACAAACACTCCAGGCCTCAAAGGAGCCAAACCCTTTCCCAGTTTGTAAGAGGAGAAAATACCTCGTTGCCTCAAATGGGGGCTGGGAGAATAGGTGGCCCCTATGGGGAGAGGACCGAATTTGAAGTGCTAGGTTCTGAGTAGTTTCCAGCCCTTTCCTTTCCTCTCCTAAATTATTTGGTAGGAAAAACTACCCACAGTCCTCAGGACTCATCAAATACTCCACTCATCCTTGGGGGACAATTAATGGACGTCACTCTGCCTCCACCCCAGTGTTTACGGACTGACCTAGGAGGGATCCTGAGGAGTTAAGTGGCGAATTTTTAACTCCTTCCTTTCCAGTCTAACTCTGGGGACGAGAGTAGGTTCCTCTTGACCCTAGGGACTCCGTCCTCCTGGCCTGTGGTGTCCCCACTCACCAGCTCCATCCTTAGCGCCATGATCTTGTCCCCCAGGCCGGGGCTTCTGCTGGTCGCCCCCGGGAGCAACAGCGCGCCAGAGGTTCCGGGCTCCCACTCGCCTCGCAGCCCGCGGAGCAGCCCTTCAGGGGTCTTCCTGCCCACCTTGCCCTCCACGTCTCGCAGGTCAGGTGTCTGGAACTCCACGGTCCCCTCCATACGCGCCCAAGCCTGAACCGGGCTGGGAAGCCAGACGCCAGGGTCCGCTCCCGGGGGTCCTCTTTTTCCGCCGGCTATTACCGAGCGGAACCGGTGGGTCCCCGCCCGCGCCGCGTAGGGGCGGGAGGAGGGCGCCGTAACACTCAGAAAAGCCGCGCGGAGCCGGGGGTAGATATATATTCGAGTGCTGCGCACACAACCTCTGGCCCTAGATCGCTGGGGCTGGGCGATCCTGGATTTGGTCCTTGAGGAGCGCTAAGAGCTCAGCTCTACTCCTCACCTTACACTGAGTCCAGCTAGGCCCACAGTAGGTGCCCAACAAGTGTTTGCAGAATGAAGACTAAACAACCTCAAATAGATATAAGAGTTTAAAGGATCGTGGTAACAGCTGTAGAGATCTGGAAAGCTTACTGAGAAGTAAATGAGCTGGGTCTAAAAAGGGGTTAGAATTTAGCTAACCACTCACACACACACTCCTCTCATTGGCTAGAATTCAGACCAGTGGAGAGCAACCTGTATTAAAGATGAAGGGTTTCACCCTGCACCGGCTTACCAACAAGATGCTGCCTAAGCTTCACTCTGAGTATGAATCATCTACTTGTTAAGATGCAGGTCTGCTGGGTCCTGTGGCACTGGCCTGTAGTCCCAGCTATTCTGAGGTTGAGATAGTAGGATTGGTCACTTGAGCACAGGAGTTCTACTTCTGACAACACATAAAATAGTTAATCAATTAGATAAATATTAAGCAGATTGATTCTATGAATTTGGGACTGGGCCTGAGATTCTGCATTTTTAACAAGCTCCCAGGTGATGGCCATCCTCTTGGTCTGAGTGCCACACTCCTGAATAACAAGGTGTTTGGACTTTATTTTACAGGCAGTGAGGAGCCATGAAAAACTTTGTTTTGTTTTGTTTCAGCTTTTAATCCAAGTCATTCCAGCCCATGGTTATAGAAGGATTTACAATGAAAAGACAACTACCACCAGCTGAAATGGCCCATGCCTGTAATCTCAGCAATTCCAGAGACTGAGGTAGGAGGATCTCCAATTTGAGGACAGCTACAGCAATTTTAGGAAGACCTTCAGCAACTTAGTGAGAGGTCCTGACTCAAAATAAATAAATAAATAGCTTTGCCCTGCCTGCCCCTTCCCATCTCTTTTCCCATTTCTCAGAGGCAACCGCTTTCTTTTTTCTTTTTTTCCTGGTGCTTACACCACCCATAATTCTAAGTATCAGACTTATACCACTACTTAATTTTAAACACGGTCTACTGACTTCCTATTAAGATAAATATGAATGCTAGGAGTGGTGGTGCAGCCCTATAATCATAGCTATTCCAGAGGCTGAGGCAGGAGAATCACAAGTTCAAGAGCAGCCTTAGCACTTTAGCAAGACCATCTTCCTAGTCTCAGTAACTTAGTGAGACCTTGTCTCAAAATGAAAAGGGTAGAGATGTGGCTCAGTGGTAAGCACCCCAGGGCTCAATCCCCAGTACCAGAGGAAAAAAAGAAATAAATTTGAGTATGTGGATTTAATTCTACTTTCCTTCTGACACTGGCACTATTTTTTTCATCATTTCTAGTTTATCTAATGGATATCTTTGTAATTTTAAATAACATATTTTTCCTTAGTATTTTTTTTTTATCTATGAAAGGTTTTAAGCAAAAGATAGAATATTTGCCTTTTTGAAAAATTTCTCTGGACTTTGCAAGAAGAAAAGATTGGAGTGGTAAAAATCTGGAGTCAAGAACTAGTTGGAAGACAAGAAACTAACCACCTGGACCAGGGTCTGGTTGTGAAGCTGGAGAAGAATTGAACCAGAATAGAGAACTCTTTAGGAGATAAGACTGACCAGACTAAGTGACTGATTACATTTATTTATTTAGTACCGGGGCACCCAGAGCCTGCCACAAAATGGGCAAGTGATCTAATATAGAGCTACATCCCCAGACCACACACCCACACACCCACCTTTTGATAGGATCTCACTAAATTGCACAAACCAGCCTTGAACTTGCCATCCTCCTGCCTGAATAGCTGGGATTACAAGTGTGCACCACCACACCCAGTTTAAGGACATTTAAAAAATATTAATAAAATGTGTTGGGTTTTCTTATATTTTAATACATACTTATTAGGAAAAATCACCTATTGCCTCAACTCCTAAAACAAGCACTGTTAATATTTTGGAGGTACCATACCAATATGCAGGAGGCAGATGGAACAGGGAGAACTAAAAAAAAAAAATATCTGGTGTTCTGGTTTCTGTCTGCTTTCAATTCATTCTCCATAAAACAGTAAAGGTTCTCTTAAAAGATAAATCAGATTCTCTGACTCTCTTGCCTAAAATGGTTCCATGGTTTCTCAATCACTTCAAACAAGTATCAACAGCACCTAGAATCTTGTTAGAAATGCAAAAATATGCCGGTCTGGTAGGGCAACCTGCACTCTCCTAGCACATGTGAGGCACTGGATTCGATCCTCAGCACCACATAAATAAATAAACAAATAAATAAAGTAAAAGTTAAAAAAAAAAAATCTCAACCTATCCCAGGGTGAACCTAAAACTATAGGGATGAGAGAGAAACTAATTTTCTGTGTTTTAACAAACCCTCTAAGTGATTCTTTTTTTTTTCTCTTTTAGTTGTTGATGGATCTTTATTTTATTTGTTATATGTGGTGCTGAGACTCAAACCCAGTGCCTCACACATGCTAGGCAAGTGTGCTACCACTGAGCCACAACCCCAGGCCCCCTCTAAGTGACTCTGATGCAAGAAGTTTGAGAACCACTGTGTTAAACTAAGTATTTTATGTATATTATCTCTAAGTTCACAACTCTATATTACTATAGCCAGTATGGTGCAGTAGTTAAGAACAGAATCCAGAGCTAGACCGCCTGGGTTTCAATTCCAGCTCTCCTAATTTTGTGAAACTGGGCTTCATTTTCTTAACCTAAGATGGGGGAAGTAATAGTGCCCACCTCATGAGTTGTGGAATTGAATGAGTAAAGTGCTCAGAACAGTAGTAGAACCTGGGTTTTAATCCCTCTTTGCTCCAAAGGCTGTGCATGCCCTAGGCCTGGGTAATAGCCTTGCCCAGAAAGGGCTCAGGCGGATGAGCAGCGTGCGATCCCGTAGAACCCCCCTAACCCTGGAGTGCAGAGTTATCTGGTCTAAGGTGCAGGGACTCGCACAGGAATCAGGTGCCCTCGGCAAGGCCGGGTGCGGGCTGCTCTGGGCCAGCAGCCCACTGGCTCGCGGGATTGCGGAGCTGCGAACGAGGGTCTGAGCATCAGCCCTCCTCGCAGGCTGCAGACGCCCGGCTGCGGCCACCGCCCTAAGCACCGCCCGCCGCCCTCTCACCCCGCGGCGGCGTCGGCGGCGGCGGCGGCGGAAGCGGGGGGGCGGGCCGGCCGGGCCGGGGCGGGGCCGGGCCGCGAGCGGCATGGAGGAGGCGGAGGCCGCGGTGAGCGGGGCTGAGCCGTGCGGGCCCGAAGGGCGCCCGAGCGGGGCCCGGGGCCCCTGAGCGGTGAGTGCCTCTAGGCTGGGGTCCAGGAGGGGTGACGCGGCCAGGGCAGGTCTCCCTAGCCTTCGGGCCTCCCTGATCCCTGGGAGGAGAAGAACCGGGCCAGATAGAATGGGACGAGGGTGGAGGATTGGGGCGGGGAAAGTCGCTGTTCTTTGCCCACCAGAGGATTGGGAAGGACTTTTAGAGGCTGATGAACCTTTAGAGTCAATTATTTGGCCTCTACCCCTGGAGCCTTGAGCAGTCCTGACTCAGATAGTTCCCCCAGCCCCAGGAAATTTCCAGGTGATCCAAACCCTCTGAATGTTTTCCTGCCAGGCCCAGAGAAGTTGAGCCACTTTCCCCAGGTCACACAGCATGGATGTTTGCAGGGAGGAGTTGCTGGGAGATCCTCATTTCTCCAGGAGGCATCAGACTTTTGGGAGGAGCACCTTACTCCATGTGACCCTTACTCCATGTGACCCTCTGGTCCCCTCAGATTCCTGAAGTCATGGATTGGCCGGGACAGTGGTGACTCCCAAATCCGGTATGGATGACTGGAAGCCCAGCCCCCTCATCAAGCCCTTTGGGGCTAGGAAGAAGCGAAGCTGGTATCTTACCTGGAAGTATAAACTGACAAATCAGCGGACCCTGCGGAGATTTTGTCAGGTAAAGAGATGTCCCAAATGTTCCTCCCAGGTTTACCCTAGCCTAGACTATTATACTTCATCATAGCCACCTCCAACCAGAAAGGAGCAGCAAGTTCATAGAGGGGAAACCTCTATGTGTCATGCCCCTACCAGCAGTGGTTTAGACCTAGAGTTCTGGAATTGGAACCCAAATCCAACCTTCTAGGCTTCTGACAGAAACCTGAAATCCGATCAGGAAGGCTTTGTCCAGGGACATATATATACCTGTCAAGAAGTTAGGGCTAGGATCAAGGTGTCTTGATTTCCAACTTGGTTCTCTGGGCCTGACTCCATCTCCAGGAACTAATTGTGGAGGGGACCAAGGAAATCAAGACCTCAAATGGAGGAATACAAGAACACTGGGTAGGGAGGGCCCTGACAAGGGGAAAGAGTCAGGTGAAACCAGGCTCTGGTCCAGAGAGACGAGTAGGCAGAGGAAGAGAAGGATCCCAGGTTCTAACTGTGTCCTCACTGCTGCCAAGGCCTTCCTTTCAGGAAGACCCTATATGATCTGGAGGAGATGTGCCTCACTCATCCCGCCTCTCCCTCAGACAGGGGCCGTGCTTTTCCTGCTGGTGACTGTCATTGTCAACATCAAGTTGATCTTGGACACTCGGCGAGCAATCAGCGAAGCTAGTGAAGACCTGGAGCCAGAGCAAGACTACGGTGGGGCCAGGCTGAGGGTGGGGAAGGGGGGACCCCTGGGATCTCAGGGCAAGAGTGGCAGGCAGATCCCAAGGGGGAGACTATGCCCATGGCTTGTTGCACCCCCATAGATGATACCCTCGGCCGCCTGGAGCCCCCACGGCGCAGAGGCAGTGGACCCCGGCGAGTCCTGGATGTGGAGGTGTACTCAAGCCGCAGCAAAGTATATGTGGCAGTGGATGGCACCACAGTAAGTGG